GAATCTCTTAAGAAGATTCTTTGTACTTTTAAAACTTGGTGAAGCTTTAAAAATCTTTACACAAGATTTAGTTGAAAAACAAACAAGAAGCAAACTAATAGGCAATTAATCTTATTAATATCTATTCTAAAATCTAAGATTATTTTTTGCTTTATTTTTATATTTATAAGTTTTAATTAAGTATTATATATATATATATATATATATTATTAAGACTCATATTTTTAAAGAAATATAAATAAATAAATAATATATATAATATCCTACTTTAAAACTTTTAATAAGTATATTAATATAATGGTTAAAATATTTTTTTTGAAGTAATGACTTTTATATTAGTAGTTTAAAATGGATTAACTTTTGTATAGAAAATATTATTTAATTATAAATATTTTTAATCACATTTCTATAGTAGACATTTAAATAAATTTAATTTCTTAATATTGATGTTAGTTTCAAATATAATATATAATTGTATCTTATTTACAAATATTTTTTTAATTTGATATGTAGATTTTAAAAATTAATATTAAATATATATATATATATATATATATATATATATATATATATATATATATATATATTTAGCAAACTATATAAGAATTACATTGAATTAACTAACCTTTACAACTTATATATATTTCAAACTTCTATCATAAGATTATAGAATAATTCTATATATATATAACTTCTTGTACATCAATACATCGTGAGTATATCACATTGTGTGGTTTGGGATCTACATTAACTTCTTCTAGATCTTCTTTTGTGTTGTAGACAAACCTATCTACCAATAGAAACTTCATCCAAAGATAATGTCAAACACCTTATATGCCAATCTAGTAAACAAACATCACACATGATCATTGTAGCACCTCCTTGAGCCTTCTATCATAACATGCACTTTAAGTTGGATAAAATCATACTAAAATTCGAGTCTAATATACCATCTATATTTGACAAATGATATAGTATATAGTTCCTAAAGTAATCTATCTAAATTTATCTATCAAAACTTTCCAATTCCAACACACCATTTAAAATTACTTTTTTAATTCTTAGAATAACTTGACATGTTGTTACATTTAATGTGGTAGGTGCAATTTGCTCCAAGCAAACATTATCACCTTCTGCAAACTATCATAGCTATAATCTATAGCCTGTTCTTTTCATAGTAGTATATCTCAAGGTATCACAATATTAAGTAATTGCAAGATTATCAAATGCTATTGGCATAATACATTGGAACAATTTTGTCAGCATATTATATACCTTTATCCACTTATTGAGATCATTCATTTCATCTAGCACATGTAAATTATATTTCATACAAGCTAACAAGACTAATTCTCATCTATACAAAAAAAAAAAAATAAATAAATGTAATTAACAAAGCTTGCTTACTAAACTTGTATTCTATAGCCAACCAAGGTAATTACAAGTTTCAATTCCTATGATGTCTATTCCGTAGACTATATTTTCTAAAAGCCATCTTAATAGTCTATACTATACATTCTGCTAAACTATTGGCCTTAGAATGATCTTATATTATAATCTTGTGATCAATGTATGCTTCTTTTATTAAAGCCTAAAATTCACTTAAGAATTCTTTATCTTAGTTAATTCACACCTTAGTTGGTATCCTAAAGTGACTTAGAATCCAATTATGAAAAGCATAAGTTACTCTTTGACTAAACTTATCAAGTAATGCCTCCAATTCTATCTATTTAAAAAAATATTTAATACCATACATTTCCTCCCATTTGACATCTTCCTAAATAAAAAAGCCTTTCTCCGATATAAATTATTTGATTCATTATAAGATCTTATCTTTCTCTTTAGAAATTAAATCAAGTGGTAATTTCTTATTCCTTAGATAATCCAAAATTTGTCTATCCTCAAAAACATCATTGGCACCTCTAGACTCTTCTCTTCCTATTTAATTAGAAAAGCTTTTTATAAGTCATCAAATTGACTCACTGGTTGTTTTAGAACAAAAAAATGCAATTAGAGTGTCAAAATGACAATTTTTCAATGAAAATTAGTTTAGATGATTCTAGATAAAGACAAAATAGTATTAGTAGATATAATACAATTTAGTCTAGGAAATCTAATAAAAAATTCTAACTTTAAGAAGGCATATTGGAGGCATCAATTTAGCATCCTTTTAGTATCTTTTGAGCATCTTGGAGAAATCTAGAAAAGTCAAAATTATTGTATGGTGTGGATCCAAATACCATAGAACATATAGTACATAGTATATTGCATACAAAATGTCATATGGAATATTAATACAATATGAGATCGGTACCAATATGGTCTGGATATGGCAGATAGTGCCAGTAGGTACCCAGATCGAGTATCCAGACCGGGTATCTGAACCAGATATCACGGGAAGGTATCTGTGATCTCAGCCTTAAGGCGAAGCGGAGGCCGATAGAGGTCTGGCTTGGACCCAATTTCATTTATTTTTTATTTTATTTATTTTTTTGTGTATGGGTTGGAGCTCCAAAATTTGGGAGGCTTGCGGCTGTGTTTTTCCATGGTTTTGCTACTTTTTGGCTGAAGAATCCTCCCTCCCCGATGACTGTGGCCCAGTAGTGCTAGTCGCTCTACTTGGTTTGGATTTATTTCTTTATTTCTTTATTTCTTTATTTCGTTGGATTGCTGCAGTGCGGCATTGCTCTCTTCTTTTTGTGTTGCATATCGAAGATGGAACTCGAAGGTGTGGCGCTGGTTATTGCGATTGTGATTCCAACGACGTGGAGCTCAAGAGACGACTAAACATCACCTCTTGTGTTGCGTTGGAGCTGCGGTTACTGTGGCATGTGTCTGTCTACGTTTTTTCCTTGCTGCGGTGCATCAAAGTGGTTTGGTGGTGTCGACCGCTCCATCGACTGGAATCTCGGTGGGGGCTCTAGTTTTTGCGTGCGTCGATTCTCACTGGACAACGTGGTCGCCATTCTATCAAGGCACCATCTTCTAAGTATCAAGTATCTAAGAAATCTAGCATCAAATAGGGGAAGTGAGCAAGATTTTTAAGCACGTGGCGTAGATTATTTCAAACCAGGGATACAATATTGACGACATCGAAGCTAACATTGAGAGTTCAGCGTCATCAACTGTTCAAGCAAACATTCATCTTATCCGTGCTGCTAAGAGCCAGAAGTTATCGGCGTATTGGAAGTGTTATATCTGATATTTTGATGGATGTATGGTTGTTAATTAATGTACAAGTGGTTAATTGAACTAATTAGAGAGCTTAAGGTCTTTTAGTAAAAACTAGATTGGTATTTCATACAAGAAAATACAAGATAATTAATTGTTGTGGACTAGAATAAATCACCAATTAGAAGTGTTTACTTAGTTCACAATTAAGATATTAGAACTTGTTGAACACTAATTAGAAAATAATCATAAAATAATAGAATTAATAGATAATTTAATTGTTATGAACTAGCATAGCTTATCAATTAGTAGGGGATTATTATGGTTAATATCTTCTGATGAGTCTCCACTTGTTGTTAATAAACCAAGGCACAATGATGCATGACATCCAAACACATCTTCCTTATTCTCTCTTATATGCCATCTAGATCCTGTAGAATCCTTCTGTCTTGGATATGAATTCTTACTTAATCCATTAGCATCCATATTAATCAAATTTGTTCCATTCACCATCTTCATGTCATTCTCTTCTAGTATCAAGGCACCATCTTCTAAGTTTTTTAATTAATTTGTCACATTCTATAAGTCATTTAAGAAATTGATGGTCCATTACTAAAAGAAATTCAATGCCATACAAATAACATCAAAAGTGTGAAGTTGTCTAAATTGGATTATATTCAAATGTAATTACATTTAAATCATATTCATATAAACTATATAGAACTTTGACAATGTTGATTGATCTGCTTGCATAAGCTACTACAAATTCCTTGCCTTCATCATTTGTTTGAATAAAAATAACTCTAATGTCTAAAATACTCAAGTCTGTATACAGCTAATATGACATCCTTAGAATAAGCCTTTGTAAGATTGATACACTAACCAATCTAGTCTTAAGTTCTATGAAATTCGCTTTTTATTCATCACTATATATCTACTCTTGATTATTTTTTGTTATTATAGTTAAAGGTTTTGCTATGCAACTAAAATTTGCAACAAACTTTTAATAATAGTTTAATAATTGAAAAAAGTTCTTAATCAACTCACATCTTTGGGTCTAGAAATACTTTCCAATGCTTCTATATTGCTCTTCACAACACCAAGGTCCCTTAGATAAATTATATGCCTTAAGTATTCCATCTATAAATAAATAAATATATATTTATTCAAATGTAATTTTAGCCCATGCTCTATTAAGCACTCTAATGTCATTTTAAGACATTTTTAATATTTTTTTAATTCTTACTAAAAATAAGGATATCATCCATATAATATTTCACAAAAGTCAATCTTGCAAGCACTCTATCTATCATCTTTTGGAATTTAACAAATGCATTCTTCAATCCAAATGATAGAAACTTCTTTTCATATAATTTATTTTTTCAAAATTCAATATAATCTCTCAATATATTTTCTTATGTCTATTTCTTATTTTCATTGGTCGTTGATAATATCCAAATATCAAATCTAATGTATTAAAAATGTTTTTATATACAATCATATCTAATATTTTTTCAAAAGTAAACATGACATATCTATCTGACTTTGTTTCTTTTCTTGATAGTCTTATAGTTATTACACATCTACTTCTTTATTCAATTGCCAAAGATATCTTTCTTAAAAGATATTACAATAGCTGATATATATATTTCATATTAGGAAATTCTACTAATTTGGCATTCAAAACTTCTTAGTTTAAGCTTTTATTAACTTGATTATTTTTTGTTATTATAGTTGAAGGTTCTGGTTTTTACAATCAGTAGGATTGTTCATGTGCGGATCTCTATTTCTTCTCTTTCCGTCTCTGATCCGTAGAGCAGTAGCGTGGTTAGTGCTGTATTAGCGGCATGTAGCTGGAGTGGGTGACCTTGCGATGAGTACTTCTGCGATGGTGCTGTTTTTTATTCGGCGGATTCCACTTCTCTTGGCGGCCGGCTGCCCTCTCCCCTTGCTACTAGTTGTTGTTTGGAGTTGCTAGACGGTGGAGTGGGTCCTCTTGTTCAGCTCGGAGTTCTCCTGTGAATCTCGTGGCAGCGGGATCCGACGGTGATGGGTGCGGACTCATTCGCTGGCGGCCGAGTTTGGTGTGCGGCACTCAGCTAGATTGGTGTTGTGCTGGAGTCGCATTCGGTGACGCACCAGCTCCACTTGTTTTTCCTTGGTTCTTATCGTGTCGTGCTCCTGTCGACGGTTGGTGTGCGGTAAAGTTGACAGTCCTGGGATTTTTTCTTGTTCATCGAGGCACTGTGATTGAAGAGACAGTGCTGCACTGCGGCGCAATTCCCTAGTCGCGGCTAGATCTGTTGGTCATCTTCAACCTTGATTTCATTGTGGTCCACGGTGTTGTCAACACCTTACTGCAATTCAGTGCTCACAGTGATTTCTAGTTGGCAATTCTTTGAAGTTCCGTGATCTCTTGCGGTTGCCAGTAGATGAGGTGAGGCGGCCGAGCTCGACTTGGCTTTTTTATTTATTTTATTTGCGGTTCCATTTGTTGCGGTTGTTGTTGTTTTATTGTGCTGCTGGGTGGCGCGTGGTGATCTAGCAGCACCAACATCGACGTTGGTGGTTCTTGTGTTGTTCAAAAACCTCAACTCACAAGCTCTGGTTACGGTTTCTGTTGCCATCTTTGACGTTCTACCAAGCTGCTGGATCGGTGCGAGGTGTGCTTGGACCTGGATCCTCTTCCTTCTTCTGGCGTCGTGCAAGGATTTGAAGTAGTAGTGGCTTAATGTGGAGAATCACAAGTGATCACAAACTAACTATCAACTTTGCATCCCATGAATCCACATTGGTGAATAGGTGTTGTTACAGTTCTACACTGGCTATCTTAGCATTCAGCTTACTGTGCACCCTTCCACCTGTGAAATTCCAACATACATAGACTTAGTCAGGGTTGAGATTAAGTGTTAGACAACCATTTTGCTAGGATGGATTTGTGGCAAGAATTATCCTGATTTAAGATTTTGACCTAATGGATGAAGCTAGATTAGTGATGGATGAAAATGAGACTTAGATGGAAATTGAGTGGATGAATTCTTATTCAAGGATGAAAACTCATTCATGGATGGAAAATTGTAATTGAACGACAATTGATTAATGGATGAAAAATTAAATTAAAAAAAAAAACATAATTTCTTTTGTGAAGGATTGAGAACCTAGGATTTAATTTCTTGCATGCTTGATTAATTGTGAATTGTTTTTAGTGATTATTGGAATTAGTTAAAGATTTAAAAGGATCTTAATTCAAAATTTAAAGTAGAAATTCTATATAATTAAATTATAAGATAAAAAAATTGTTGTGGATTAGAATAGACTCTCAACTAGTAGAGTTTATTTTAGTTCATACATCACTCTATACCTTAATCAATGTATCTTGTTTCAAAAGCACTTTCTTAGACTTCTATATTGATGTTGCTTTAAGGTTGCATTATTTCAATAATCCAAAGTAAAATCTATAATACCCACCAATACATCATATAACTCAACTCAAGTAATAATAACCTTAGTTTTAATGGTTAGTGCATTTATAACATTATTAAGTTATAGTTTAATCAATAGTAGTTGAGTTATAATTCTAATAGTCTTCTTTGACCCTTTCATAGATGTATTAACAATAAAAATACATATCTTTAATATATCCTTTTATAAAGCAAAGTTTTAATGGTAGCCTTGTCTAATATCAATAGTTGGACTTTAGAGTCCAATAAAATTCTTTGAAGTATAAAAACCCTTCTATTAGGTCCTATATTATACAACAAATCATCTATGTTGTCTCCTACTATAACTCCTAGTATGACAAAGATCTTTCAATAGCTAGTCTTTATAGCATGGTTTAAACTTGTCCTACTACTATATAAAATTTGATTTCTTCTAATGATTCATTTCTTGATTTATCTATTCTAAGTGGTCATGTCTCCATTACTATAATGGATTGGCATCTATTAGCCTTATATAGAGCTTTAGCTGTCTCCAATAGTTTAATTATAACAATTTTAAGTGTTTCAACTATTTGAATAGAAAATATAAGTATTTCATAAATCATAGTTGTTATATATGAAGCTTCATTTCTACTTGACAACTTAATATAATTCTTATAAAGAATAAGGAATTTTTGTCTTTGTATCTTTTTATACAACTTGTTGTCCCTTAGAATTCAAATCTTCTAAAACAAATGATTTTGACAACCTAACTTACTATCATATCTTTTTAATTTGTAGATCATGTGTATTAGTAGCACCTCTTCGTACTTCTTGTTGTATATGTGCCTTAGTAATTATTATATAGCATGGCTCATTTATACAACAAAAAAAATTTATTTCATATTCTAAAAAAAAAAAACTCTATTATTTTTTAGAGCATGAAACTTATCTCTAGTTTCATTCTTTTGACTCTCCATCTTCTTACCAAAAGGTTTGTCCTTATATTTTGTAGCCTTATCCTTCCATCTCTAATTAAATTTAGCTTCTTCTTTAAATTTCTTTATATTAGCTAGCATCACTTTTAAATAAAGTTTCAAATACTTGGCTGCAATGTAAGTTGAAGATCCACTTCCTGAGCAAAACTTCTTCCTAAGTGGCTTAGGTTTGTATCACATGCATGTTTTTAATCAAAGCATGTAATCATACCAATTTAAGCATGAACAACCTCAATATTTTCTACAGTCTTATAAACCTTGACCATCATGGACATAGATACTTCTTTTCTTATTAAATTAATAATAATAGAATTTGTAACTATGTATATATATTTTAAGGTAGGTAGATTGTCAAAATACAAATTTGATAATCTTATTCTAAATAAATTCTTGAGGTTAGAGTTTAGGATATTATATTCATAGTTAATGGCATGTACAAATGTAACTCTTTTAGTGCTCTTCACTAACTTCTTTGGCAAAAAAAATCAATAAAATAGGTGTATTTCTACTTTAATTGAAATTTTTGAAGCTTTAATATCTTGTCCAACCTTTGTCATATACATACACATGTAAATCAATAATTACCTATATGATTAGATAAAAATAGATAAAATTAGGTTAATTCTATAATATCTTCTATAAAAGCTTTTTAGAAGCTTCATAGATGCTGCTTTGACTTTATAGGTGTCTATAAATGATTTTTTAGGTTAGAAACATAGTCAACAAGTTAGCCATGTGCTACACATGTTGGTAGCTTGAAGAATAAACTAACTATGTAGCTTACTTATAGAAAACTTGCCTTGTAAACTAAAGCATCTGTCTTGCAAAGTCAATACATATTATAGGTCCCATAAAACATTGCCATATAGCTCTTAGCTAGATAATATATATAGAAACAAGAGTGAAGCCATCTTCACTCTTATCAACTTCTATCTTGCTTCTAGTCTAGATTCAAGAGTGTTTAGTTTTCTTGTCTTTTGGCAATAGTCATTTCAATTTCTTTTTAATATACATACTTCTTTATTTGTTTTCAATAAATTCTTGTCTTTTGGCAGTAGTCATTTCAGTTTCTTTTTAATATACATACTTCTTTATTTGTTTTCAACAAATTCTTGTCTTTTACAGATTGACAAGTGTATCCTTACAATATCAAAGCCTTGTCTTTTCTTAAATAAGAGTAAATTATTCCTATCTCTTGATAAGATATAAGCATAATAGAAGTTGTGGATTACCCTCTTTTAAATTGATATTGTTTTTAGTATCTTCTTTAATATTTAGTCTTCTCTTCTATAAGATTTGAGAAAAATTAGATATATATATTTTTTAAATATTATCATGACAAAGCTTGTTGAAGTGAAGAGTGCAATGGCACAAATGTAAGAACAATTGAGGGAGTTAATACTTGCGATTCATCAACTCAATTTACTACTACAAAGAGCAACAAGAATGGCAGGAAGTAAAGATATAGATATGATTGGAGCTGCTTCAATATCTGCACCAAATTATATCCCTTCTCTTATGGTGGAAAATCCTTTCGATACTAGAAAACCAAGAGTTGCCCTACCTAAGAATTTTAATGGTACAAGTTTTAAGTTTCAAGGATTTAACAATCAAGTACAACTTGTGATTGAACTTCAATTCCAAAGCTATCCAATTCCAAGATCACAAATTAGATTCATTAGTACATCTCTTTCAAATTCAGTATTATTATGATTTTTATCTTTTTTTGAATGACAAGATCTAATATTAGATAATTTAGAGGCTTTTTTGATAGAATTTTGGTCCATGCATGATAAACATGATGCAACTTATGTTGCAACAATCAAGATTGGTATTTTGTGACAAAAAAATTGATCCATAATATTATATGCTTCATAATTTGGACAACTTGTAATTAATATCAAGTAGAATGATGTTGCACTTATTAGCCAATTTTTCTATAGATTATAATATGAGGTAAAGAAATTGATGCTCAACTTATCTGATTATTAAACATTGAGTCAAGTGATTGACATTGCTGTAAAGTGTGACAAATGACTTTTCAAATTTTGATTTGAAAATTGAATAAGTAGGCCTAAACATTACTATAATTTAATGGCAATATCAATGCCTCCTCAACACATACATTCAGAAGTAGAAGATATGTAAATTGATACAATATGTTTCAAAGTTCTTATTGAGAAAAAAAAAGACTTGTTACTATAAAAAAAAAAAATGTGCTTATATTATAGAGAATGTAAGTACATTGCTCAACATTGTTTAAAGAAGCAATACAATTATAAAATGAAGAGTATGAATGTCAAAGAAAAGAATATATTAGAAAATAAGTTTATCTAGCTATAATAGGGATTGTGTAGCTAGAACCTTGTACAATACCTAATGAAGGTCCTATTTTCTCTTCAGATCCTCTTCTTATTTTATATAAATATTATTTTAGGACCTAAACATTACAAAGCATCTATCTTGTTAGATTCAAGAGCTTGAGCATGTTTCTTAGATGAAGAATTTACTAAATGACTTAGCATATTTTTAGTGAGAAAAACTAAACTTCTTCATGTTGAAGTCATAGATAGTTGTTTGTTATCTTCTGGAGATGTTACTCATAAAATTCTTCTTATAGAAGTAATAACCAATGGTCATAAATAGCTTTTTATTTAATATCATTAAATCTCCTTCTAATCCAATCATTTAAGGCTTATTATTATTAAAAAAATCCAATTCTTAAGTAGATTGGATTTCTTGTACTCTAATTTTTTTTTAAAATATAACTAAGAGTGTAGTTAATCAAATAAAAAATCACAAGTCTAGTATGATTAAACCTATGTTTATAGGACTAAGAGCTTTCTTGTATGCTGCAAAAGAAGGATCACCTTGTGTCATTTATATTACACCTATTTTTAATGGTGCAAAGACTTCAAGTGGTATTCCAAGCCAATATTAAGAATTTTAAGCTATATTTGAGAAAAAGAATGTGGATATTCTTTTAGAACATTATTCCTATGACTGCTCAATTAACCTTCAAGAAAGAATACAATTGCCATTTGGACCAATCTACAATTTATCACAAAATGACTTAGCTAAATTCAAGGAGTATATTAAAGAAAATCTAGCCAAAAACTTCATACACCATTCCAAATTTCTAGTAGGAGCCTCAATTCTATTTGTAAAGAAAAAAGATAGATCATTACGGATATGTATTGTTTATTGAAGACTCAATAAGATCACCATCAAGAATAGGTATCTATTATCTTTAATATGTAGACTTCTTGATAAATTCAATGAAGCTAAGATCTATACAAAAATAGATCTACAAGGAGCATACAATCTAGTATGCATCAAAGAAGGAGATGAATGAAAGACTACATTTTAAACTAGATATGGATATTTCAAATATAATGTCATGCCTTTTAGATTTACAAATGCACCAGTAGCTTTTCAAAATCTTATGAATGATGTTTTTCAAGAGTTTTTGGATGATTCATTTTCTATTAACTAAATAACATCTTGATCTATTCTAAGAACAAAAACAAATATGAATTTTATGTTTTTTATGAGTTACAAAAATTAAGAGATGCGGGATTTTATGCCAAGATAGAAAAGTGTATATTCCACACTACTCAAGTTGACTTTTTAGATTATATCATTTCAAATAATAGACTTATGATGCATCCTAAGAAAATTCA